TTTGATAAAGGAATTGCTTTTTCAATGAAGTAATCCTTCAAAACATGAAATATCGATTCACCTTTAGTGTCGGTTATCAAAGTTCTTGCGAAGAGCAGTTCTTCGTAGATTTCTTGATTCATAATAAAACGAACATATGCCAATAATATCGGGTAAAGTTGCCTCGTCCAGCTGTAGAGAGAACTAGGTCGTTTGCAAATAATTACATAAGAAGCTTTCAATATCAGAATTCATTTCATCAATACGTCTTTCAACAGTATTGTTGCTTAAGGGAATTCTTTTAATGATATCAGACGCAAGTTTGTGTAAAACAGTTTTTAAAACCTCTTTGACTGCTGGCAAAATTAACTTCTCTCCGATAGTATGCGGTTTTCCGGATTTTGCTATGAGTAACGAAATATTGTAAGACACCCGCAAACCATCATCATTTCTTTGTGACGTCGAAGCGAACATTCTGTCCAGTGTAGGTCTCTTCTGAAATTTATCTTTGAGTGTTTGAAAGTATTTCAAATCTTTCTCTGTCTTATCAGGATGGCATCTTCTCAGATGATCTTGCAGTTTAGATGGTTTCATAGCGTCATTGCCGAAAACTTTGTTGCATAAAAGGCACATAGGCGATTGTTTCAAATAATCAACACTGTATTGTCTACATTTGTTTTTAGATTCGAACATGGCATCAGTCATCTGTGGGCAAAATTAAATTATTTAAATAAGACACACAGTCCAGCAGCTGTATATTAAAAATATTTTTTGATTTTTCCGAAAACATTCCATAATTCGAACATCTTCTTGCAACAATTAGCTCGAATTACGGAGATTGCACTGTAATTATATTACCGATTGCTAAAACTTTCAAAAAGAAACTATTGAGGAGTACTCGTGTAATTTTGCATGATTGAATATTTAACTACTAACAACTAAAGTCATGATTGGCGTAATTTATCTATCTTTGCTAACTACGGGTACAAAACTAAAATTTAATAAAAAATAATGTACTTACTTTTCTCCAGCTCTCTCGAACAAAATAACACTGACTCACTATAATGTGTGTGATATACTATCTGTTTATATTTTTTAAAATATTTTCTTAGCACGAATTGAACAAGTCAGTGCAAGGTAGCGAAGCTCTGAGACTGCGACTCTCAGGTTTTTACAAGTTCAAAATGTATTGCGACCACAAAGCGAATACTAACATCCTACAACTTACACAATTTTATAAACATATATAATAAATTTTTTACTTCATAGGTACTTTTATAAATAATGTATATGTTTTGATATTATAAGATAGTATGATGTAAGTAAATAGGTACTATCAGTGCATGTGTTGAAATCTACTATCGTGGACCCCCATATTCATTTCATGGACCCCCAAATTTTTTTTCGCTGACGTAGACCCCTTGCAGGTTGTCATAGTCCCCTAGGTCGATATAGACCACTTTGGGAATCAATCTTCTAGACTATAGACTAAAGCTGTATTACATTTTATCGAATGTTCCGAATCTGTTATTTCATTACCCATCAGTTATTTATCCAACCGTTACCAATTTGTGGAAACATCTAAAGGTACATAAGATTGGTTGTGGTGTGCCACAAGGTTCAGTTTTGGGTCCTGTACTTTTCCAAATATATTCTTCTAATATAACTAAAGTTTTAAATAAGTGTTCCCCATCTGTTTGCAGATGATACACAGATGAAATTGTCTTTACTCTCCCTCTCTTAGCTCAGCTGCTGCAAATGATGAGCTTAATATGGAATTGGATACACTTCACTCTGAATCTCTGTCACATCAACTTACCTGTAACCCATCTAAATCTACCGTTATGATATTTGGTAAAAAAAGCTACTTTGCAAGACAACGTTACTGTCCGAATGGGTTAAAGTACAATTAAAAATGTCAAAATAGCAAGGAACTTAGGTTTGGAAATGGATAACGCATTGAGATTCTCTGATGCCCACAAAGGGCATTTGTTCGGTTGAAGTTTTTGTTACCTCACCACCATGATTATTCTCACTGACCTTTTAGTTTTGTCCCTATTCAATTTCTACGATGTCGTGTATGGACCCCTGTTTAACGAAGATGGATTACGGACGAATACAGAAAATCTAAAAGGCGTGTCTCAGGTTTATTTTTGGCATCCGCAAGTTTGGCAGGAAGAAATTGGTTGGTTCAATATGGCTTCCAGAAGACAATTTCATTCAGCAACATTATTCCATAAAACTGTTTCTACCAAAACGCCTCTATATTTATGGAATACAATAAAATTTAGGCATCACGTCCATAATTTAAATATTCGCAGTAAGTTATATAATCTCTTCACTTTAAGAACCTTCTGTCTAAGAAATTATAATAAACCTTCCAACAATTAATGTGGCAGAAGTAATATCCTGCGTCACTGTTTTTCTCACAGCATAATGTTCATTACTTCTGTCTCAATTCGGTCAGCACTTGTATCGGTATTTCCTGTATGTTGGTCGGTTTTGCAATTACATTTATTATTTGAATGAGTCATTTTAATTACTGGTTGTAATTGTGAATACATTGGTTTATTATTATTTTGTTTGTTATTAATACTATACAAATACTATAAAATAACAGCTATTCTCAGAAGCAGTAGTTTTCCTTTTAACAAAGTTATGCCCAGGTGGAAAAATTGCTGGTATATTGCGCGTACTTATTACTACAAATATTTGACCATATTGTCAGCTTTCCGAACATCAATATGAGCGCGTCAACAAATAATAATCCCTTAGATAGAAGGTAATTCTTATAACTATTTTAAATAAACATACTCATTTCTCACAGGTCTTAATCAGGCGAAAACCTAGGGTGGCGCGGCGGGACCTAGCGAGACAGCGTTTCCAAATGTTCCTGTTCCGCGCTTCCCAGCCACACTAGGAGCCTAATCGGCCAGCGCCCTAACACGCGGATGCGGCGGTAACAGGACAGTTCGGTCTTGTCGCTCGACGTATGCATGAGTATTATTGTATTGTAACGGCGGATACTGATTTGTTTGTAAGTGCAATGCAATCTAAACCACCTATTTGGCAAAGTAAACATCCGCAGCATAGATATTTTACTTAGGATTTAGTCAAGCGTTGACGCTGGTAGGGTATAATCTCAATTCTTCATACAACTGAAAAAATTTAACAGTTGTTTCTCTGTTTTTATTCATTTCGTGCACGCCATCTCGAATGTTCAAAATCTCCCATCTCAGGATCGGACTGTCTAGTAAAAATACTAAATCGTCGTCCATAGTTTGGGACTTCTGATAATACGTCGAACTAGTACAAGAGCTCACGTGTCCCTGTGGTCACCAGTCACCGCGCATTCACAATTGGGAATAAGGTCTGCGTTCCATTTTTTCTCCTGCTTTTGTCATCTTTTAGGTAAAGGTGGCCCTTAGTTTTTGTGCATGTACTTTTTAAAAGCTAGACACAACTTTTTCCTACAGAAGACTGGAAACGAAAACAATTTTGATTTTAGGATACCTGCTATTGTCTTGTGAACAGTATTTTCTCAATCGTTAAAATCGTGCTCACTTGAGTGCAAGCTACGGAAACCAATCACAGGCTCACCAATGTTTTACATAGTTTTTTTTATTTAGACTAAAATCTCAAATTTCGGGTGATTGATTTACATCAACGGAAAAATCTTGGAAACTATCGATCTTTGCCTATACCTAGACTGAAAATTGTTGCACTCTGCATTGGTTGCACTGATAAACGTATTCAACCTGATTGATTACGTTAATCAATGCCACCTATACGTCCTGGAAGGAATGCGTCAAGTTACTGGTTACCCTGTATAATAAGACGAAATATTCACAAAGCTATAGCCAGTTGGGGCCCCTAATGGCGATGCTGTTCATTTAACTAATCTAGTTCGCCAGATCGCACCAACGCAATGTTTCCATACAGTAATGGCTTAAAATGAAATTAAACTTTTGAATATTTTTCAGCTGTTAAAAGTGTTCGACCGTTACTGAAAAACAATTTTGTGTCAATACAGTTTTATCAACTGTGATACTAGATTCAACATACTGCTTCCGAAAATCTTCAAATACAGTGATAGCGACTTAAAAATCACACAATATACACTTTCAGATTAGGCTTTTCGGACCTGTGTACCCGGGTATCCAAGATCTCTCGGATCCGGGTAATACTGGACGAAAAATCCGGGTACCCGGGTATAAATAAAGATTAGTAAATGTTTTAGCGTAATAAACTAATGTCTCATAAGAACATTTTTTGTTGAGACTGACCCAAAAAAAAAGGAAAAACTTTATCTGATTCGGAAAAAGATACGAGGGATGTCTTTTAAGTTTTGCATATAGAAACATAGTAGGCCGCGCGGATCGAACGTCAGTACTGAATCTTAACCTCACTCTTTAGTAAACTTAAATTCAAAGTTTCACAACAATTCGTGCAGTGTTCTCACTACAGTGCATTTTTAAGTGTCACCAAGTCATTAGAAAAATGGAACTCAACCTAGAACATTTTCGCCTCATAGTTTATTAGAACTTTCAGAGACAATTATCGCCACATCAGTCGACAGCTTCCCGTTGGTATGGAGAATTCAAACGTGGACGGGTGAGTCTTAGCGACGATCCCAGGGTGGGTGCACCAAAAATGGCAGTCACCCAGGGATACGTCGATGCTGTGCGCAAACTCATCATTGAAGATAGACATGTGACATATCGCTAGATTGAGACGTCCTTGAGATCTCAAAGACCTCAATTCACACAATTTTACTTGAAGAATTAGGAGTAAGAAAACTAGTTTCTCGTTGGATACCCCACCTGTTGACTGAAGTGTCAAAAAACGCTTGACCGTTTCAATTTAGGAAACTCAAAAAATGTGTACAGCATTGTTAGTGGTGATGAATCGTGGATTTACTATTATGAACCAGAAAATAAACGACACTCGGCTGTCTGGGTGTTCCAAGATGAAGGAAAGCCAACAAAAGTAATCCGTTCTCGAAGTGTTTCGAAAAAGATGGTCGCGACATTTGTGTCAAAAGCGGGACATATTGCAACAATTCCTCTTAGTGAGCAGAGAACTGTTACTGCAGATTGGTATACCACCATTTGTTTGCCCAAAGTCATCGCCGAACTTCGAAAAATCAACCCCGAAAGAAGAATTATCCTCCACCAAGCCAATGCAAGCTCGCATACAGCCCAAAAAACAAGGCAGTATTTACCGGAATTATTGGACCATCCTCCATATAGTCCCGATCTAAGTCTTAAGGATTTCTTTACTTTCCCGAAAATTAAAAACAGACTGCGTGGTCAAAGGTTCCAGTCACCAGAAGGAGCAGTTGACGCATTCAAAAATGCCGTTTTGGATCTGCCAGCAAACGAGTGGAATAAGTGCTTCGAAAATTGGTTCGAGCGCATGCAGATGTGTAGTAGTCTTCGTGGAGAATACTTCGAAAAACATTAAAGTCATTTAAAGCTTCCCACCGTGTTCTTTTATTTCCATATGCAAAACTTAAAAGACCTCGTAACTTTGGAATATAAGAAGAATGTACCAACAGGTTTTGGCGCTATTTTGTGCATGGTGACATGCAGAGACCTTAAAAGAGGCCCTTTTCTCAATAAGACTATGCAGTAAAACGGATTCAAAATTTTCTGGACTATTCGTGTTCAAAATTTGGGAAATGTGATTGTGGTTTTTTATATCTATGTTCCTGCTGCAGATGGATTTTTGGAACCGGTAACTTTTACGGAAAAGCTTGGTGACGTTCTAAAAACAAAGTTACACAGGATTCCCGTATAATAATTTATCTGAACGGATACGGTATTTCATTACCAAGTGATTTATGAACGCACTCCAGCTGATGAGCCGTATGACGGATGTTTACAATTTTGTAGCCAAAACTCCTTGCCATGACGTGTTAGTAGCGCCTGGATAGTCATAATCGTCGACCAGAGTCGACCACGTTTCACCGGCTTCGCCCATACCATTACGCAGAAAACGAATAACTTGGGAATACTGACACTCGCGCTCTACACTGAAATGGTATGTGGGAGTAATTAGGGCCACTAGTACCACATTGTCGGACATACAGGTACCTAGAGTAAGAAGAAACTGGGTTCATCGTAACGAAGCTTGTGTGGAAATTTTAGGACGGCATTTTGAACACCTTCTGTAAATATCAAACAAAGTACAGTGTGGGTTTTAAAAGGAAAAACAATGTATGTTTCAAAATTGTGTTCCCTATTTATAAGTGGACTTTTTTAAGAGGTTCAGTAAACTTTCACACTCCAGGTGAAGCGCTGAGACAGTTAGTGGTAAGTCAGTTTTTTTTAATTGTTTGCATTTTACGTACATTATCAAATAATGAAATAATACTTAAGAGTCAAAAATAATAAACTCCATCTTTATTTACACTGCGTTAAGTCATAATTTTACTTTGAAGTCGCTTTTCTCTAAAAAAATGCCGTTTTGACCACCATGTTATATGAAAGTTTTTGCTTCTTTTAACCCCATTTAAATAATGACTAACATAACTTTTACACCCTGTATACCTGAAAGCATTACTATATCCTAACCAAAAATTTTCATTTTTTATTTACTTGGTTTAAATGCGACCGAGCGAAAGGAAGAAAAATATTGTTAGTGGCGCTTCAGTTATGCTCTCCAGTTTATATGCATCAGAGAGTTTGACCACTAATTCTATAAAGCTCATATCGTCCTGAAAGCAATAAATACTCGTGCTGACTGAAAGGCTAAGATCATGACAAGAATCAGCCAAATTATGCTATATATCAGCCTTCCGACTCTGATAGTATTACATTATCAGTTGAAACAGAGTAATTACGAAGTTAGTTACAAGTTAGCCGGTGCAATTGCGCTGTATAATCTAAATGGCTCAAGTAATATCGCTAAGCAGGAATTTGCATATTCACTATATAAAGTTGCACCAGACAGCATTCCGTAAACTGTACTCGAACATCCCCATTTGAATGTATGTATATATATATATATATATATAGACAACGTTTTCGGATATTAAGCGAAATAATTTTTCCTCATACTACATTAATAGACAAGAAAATAGACTGTGATGGAGTTGGCTATCGAAGGACCACCTCTAAAACAACATCATAATACTCTGCTTCAACTGCTGGGATCTTATGAAAATTATTATTGAAAGAACACTTAATCTCCAGATATCTACATTATATTCACTTCATGTTACTGAAACATCCACCTATGTTTAATGTATTGTATATAAAACACCGTTTTTACTGCTTAAAACATAATTTATTACTCTTACACTAATTTATAACAAGACTTGCAACTAATTTATTCCAAATTTATGACCATGTTAACTGGACCATCTCGTCGCGCGAATCTCACACATCGTAGACTGTTCTCTGACTGTCTTTCTTCCACCATATCTGCCTATATTTATTCCCCTATCGACGAGAAGAGCAATACTACAGCTTCTTCCAGGCCGTTTCGCGAAGTTTCATGGAAGTGGCATAGATGGCAGTAAATTCATCTCGATGACGTTGGACGCTCTCGAATGTAGACTCGGTCGCTCCCGATGCACGGCCGCATAATTGGTTGCCTAAGCGGCAACGTTAGGGAGGTGTCCTATTGTTCTAGTTAGGAGGGCATCACATTACCGTCTCAAACTTATCTTGTGGGGCTCATGCTGATAAATCTCCATGTCTTGCTGGTCGCCAAACCACATACCTTGGATTGACCGTTTAACACTTTCGCTGCGGATCCATAGAAGATATAAATAAGCCCTATGCGGAATCATCGAATTACTTTACTTTATATATATTTTCACGCAAAGAGTATAATAAAGCATTACAATAACCGCTGTAAAGTTTATTTATCAATTTTTTGCAAAGCGCGCATGTGCGTCCTCCGCACATTCTAATAATATTCTGGCAGTGCGCAGAAAGCGCACATGCGCGTCTTACTTTTTTTGCTATTTTATTGTAATTTATTATTTAATAAAAACAGCGAACTACAATAATACTTTTATTTGTAAACTAAAATTCACCAAACAAGCCAATCTAACAATAATACATCATTTGAAAAACAAAATAATAAAGACATAATATACTAAGTGACATATAAATCCGAACACCCAGTTTAAATGGTTTTACTTTAATAAAAGTTGGTGAATGTATTTATCTTACTGTAAATAACAAGTGAACAAATTTTCAGCCTTATCAGTTGGACATTCCGGTTTTTATACTGCTTTTTTTTAATTCACTAACGCTCTAAAAATGAATATTTCAGCCGCAGTAAAGAATCAACGTTGGCGGATTTTGGTTCTTGACATCCTTTACGATCGATTACGATGCCTAGATTACGGAGACCTGTACGATTTCGTCAACTTAGTGAGTTTGATAGGGGCCGTATAGTGGGACTTCGGGAAGCTGGACTTTCTTTTCGACCAATTGCAGTTAGAGTGCAAAGAAGTGTAGACACTGTGGTTAGGTGTTGTCAGGCATGGCTTCGAGAAGGCCGTACGCAAAGAGCAAGGGGCACTGGACGCCACCGTAGAACAACAGACCGTGAAGATCGCCGCCTAAGATTATTGGCCCTAAGGGACCGTTTCTCCACTACCAGGTCCATTGCAAATGAATGGTGTGCAGAACACGGAAGACCTATTGGCATGCGAAGTGTTTACCGACGAATGAGAAGTTTTGGCTTGTTTTCGTACCGGCCAGACTGGGTCCTCCCTTTAACTCGAGAACACCGACGTAATCGCCTTGAGTGGTGCAGACAACGGTCACTCTGGGATCAGGAATGGAACAGTATTGTCTTTAGTGACGAGTCTCAATTTTGTTTAGGCATGCACGATGGTCGTGCCAGGGTTAGAAGGCGACGTGTTGAAAGGAGGAATCCACAGTTTTTTGTTGAAAGACATGTTCATCACACTGTTGGAGTTATGGTTTGGGGTGCTATAGCTTATGGTTCCAGGTCACCTTTAATCTTCATCAGAGGTAACATGAACGCGCAGCGTTATATCCGCGAAGTTCTAGAACCCCATCTTTTACCCTATCTTGACACCCTGGCAGATCCAACTTTCCAACAAGGTAATGTCCGACCACATGTTGCAAGAGTCACAATAGACTTCTTTCAACATAATGATGTCACATTGTTACCATGGTCACCAAGATCTCCCGAGTTATCCCCAATTGAGCACGTGTGGGATATGATGGGTAGGAGATTGCTCAATTTGCAACGTCCTCCTCAGACTCTAGAAGCACTTCGAGAGGAGTTGGTGGTTGCCTGGAATGAGATACCACAGGAGGACATGGACCACCTGATCAGAAGCATGCCTAGGCGCGTTGGAGAATGCGTAGCACATCAGAGTGCATCCACACATTATTAAAGGTCAAATGGCTTTAAAGCAGTGCAATCATTTTGAAACTTTTATCATTTACTTATTATGCTTCAGTACTTATACAAAATTTCATTTAAATAAAACCATTTAAACTGGGTGTTCGGATTTATATGTCACTTTGAAGTTGAGTCATTAATTTTCAGATAATGATTGTAGAAGGAAGATAAACCAAAATATGTGTGTAAAAATAAAAGAACATTAAAAAAAATGTTACCTTGTTTTATAAAGTATCCTCCCGACAAGTATTTCAGTGCGGACCTGTATTTGATCGTGGGGTCTTGGAGCACCGGCAGGGCCTCCCCTGTAAGGTCTTAAGTCTCCTGATTCACGAGCCCTTTGTACTACATTAACAAAGGCACGAGGGGTTGGTTGCACTCGATTGGGAAACCGATTCGCACAAATCCGTGACACCGCGGCAGCATTTTGTAAATAAGAGTCATGTCCACAAGTTCAGCATTTTCGTAAACATGTGCTATTTTTTATTTCGTTTGAGCTACGCAACAAACACCACTATTCACTCACGCGTTACCGACTGACGAAAAACATCGTGATAAACGTTTCAAATTCTTTCGCTTTTTTGTTGCCGATGCGATGAACCGATAACGCGGATTATATCCGTTGTTGCCAAACACGAGCACATAATATTATTATTGAGACAGGGCGGTACTCAAACTTCTAAAGGGCTATAACTTTGTAACTTTAATTTTACCAGAAAAATGTTAAAGGAAAAACATTTCTTTTGATCAGATCTACTCACTGTTAAAATAGATGACTCAACTTCGAAGTCACCCTGTATATCAAAGATAACAAGTCACTCTGATAAAAACATATTTAGAGTTATATTGTCAGTCACAGAACAAGCCTATCTACAATAATTATAAAAATGTAGTAACATATAATAACGTATCTAAAATAAAACATTCTAATAAACATATAAGAAGGGAATGGAGATCATAATTGAAATTGTACCTTTTTATGATATTCTGTAAAACATTCTCCTAAACACAAACCTGGCTGATCAGCACATGATGATTCCTTTTTTTGTTTTTTGTACATACACGACACTTCTTTCTTAGAGTTT